TGTTTTTGTCTTCAACCTTTAACAATGTTACCGAGTCACTTTAATACATATTTTTTAATTCATTGAACTTTTTCTTCTAAAAAACGGTAACAAAAAAAAAACTTTAATAAAAAGCTGACCGTAGATTTAAGGATTTTGGAGTCGGTCGCAAAGAGCAATACAATAATTTTTTTTGTTTAGCCTCATGGTTACTCAGTAGAAGTAAAGTAAAGTTGAATTCCTGAATAAGGTCTACATTTTACTGTAGAAATCTCGTATAAGCAGAAACAAACTGGACCACATTAAGGTGCACCCTGCTGATGTTTTAAGAGATGTGACTGATACAAAACTGTCTTACCAAGGTCCTCAGGTACTCTGCAGTCCAGTCGTCTTCTCTTGGAGTCTGGTGAATCTAGACTAGCCATTTCTTATTCTTCCCTCATCTATTATAAACAAACAATCTCAAGCTTATATCACAGATCATCATCTCGTCTAGAAGGGGGGGGGGGGGAGAAAGAGGAGGAGGAAGAGGGAGAAAAGGAAGAAGAACAAGATAATGTAAATAAACAAATATGATTGAGAAGAAGAAGATAGATCAAGTAAAAAATAAATGGATTTAATATAAGTTTGATATATCTGATCATCACCATCTCGTTTGAAATATTTTGTTTTACAAAGTCCAGGGAACGAATAAAAGATTAATACTACATCAATTTCATTTTGGCTGAGGTTATTACAGTTGAACATTTGAAGGAAAAAAGGGTTCCTTTAGGAGCCCTCCATTGAAAAAATATATGCCAAGCAAAACACACAAGCAGTAATACAAACATTGTTTCTTTATCTGTTATTTTCATATTTGTTTTTATACAATGTTTCATAAAGCAAATTATCATGAATCATGAATCAAACGAAGAAATAAAAAAAAAAAAAAAAAAAACCGCTACTGATCGCGACTATTAATCACCAACATAAGAAAATAACATACTCGCACTGACATGTTTTTTGTTCATTCTGAGTTACAGACACGGAACCTAATCAAGAAATACATTCGGATTCTTCCCAAGCAGGTGCGTAAGCAGGGGGGGTGGTTTTGGTGTTAACCCCCCCCCCTCGAGTTTTTTTTATGTGTTATGTTTTTTGTATGTTATTTTGGAAAACCTTCCCCTTTCGATTTTTTTAATTTTTTTTTTAAAATAAATTAAAAAAAAAATAATAATAATAAAAAAAAAAAAAAAATTGCCAATAGGTGACCTTAAAAAGGTGACCTTACCCCCCCCAACTGGACAAAATGTCAAATTTTCAAATTTCGAGACCCCCCCCCCAAAAAAAATAAAGTAAAAAGTGTCCTCTTACCCCCCCCCCCCCCCCCCCCCCCCCCCCCCCCCCCCCCCCCCCCCCCCCCGCTTATTCAGCGGCTGGCTGAGTCGTTGGGATTTTTTTTGGGACTCGTAAAAAAAAAAAAGTGTACGCTTACCCCCCCCCCCCCCCCCCCCCCCCCGCTTATTCAGCGGCTGGCTGAGTCGTTGCGATTTTGAAAACCCTCCCCTTCAAAAAATCTTGCGTACGCCACTGTTCCCAAGTAAATACATGTATGTAGGCCGAATACATTGGGACATCTTGGCTTCTGAATCTCTTAATGTATTTTTCATTTCCGCGTTTGTCAATTAAAAAATGCATGCTATATGAACTTTGATACTTGATATGTGAAATTTCGAGAGATATATTTGGCATGGATGACAATTCAATAGGCATGCATACGTCAACTATGATTGTATGTTTTTATATTCTATCAATAAATGAAGTAAATAACAGGTTATTTACTTTGCGATCAAACATCTTTTTATTTCTCTTTTCTTGTTATTTGTGAAGCTACATGCAGACACAAACACTCTACATAACGAGTCAATATGGAATGTCGTGCAGATAGATTAATACGTGGTGATGATGGTGGTCATATTCACATTAGTATTACTTAAACCGTATAAAAGAAATTCCGTATACATTATTTGTAACGCTCAATAAAACTGTTTGAAATAACATGATCTTTAACAAAAGTAATCCAACGATAAAGTACAATTTCTTTTCTTTTTCTTCCTAAGCGCAAAATAAATCACAATAATTAAATGTTTCATTCGCTATTATGTCAAAAAAATATTATTATCATCATTATTATTATCATTGTTATTATGATCCGACAAAGTATATACTTGCTTTGTATTTTAATGTGATCTATATGGTTTAATAAATTCAATTCAATTGGCATCAGCCAATGCAGGCAAACTGGAATCCTACACAATTATATCTATGGCGTAGCGAAGACCCAGACATCGAGGGGTCCCCCCCGTCTTACTCACTCGATTTAATTCAAATCTAGACTGATAGAGAGGGTGATGGAGAGTGTCGGAGGGGCCAGATTATCTCCTTTTTATGTTGCCTTCTCATCTCCTATCCCCAATTTCTTTCTCATGTTCTCTTATTTTCTTCTTCTTATGTTGTGGGTAGGGGTAGGAGGGTGCGGGGCTACACCACTGTTCTGAATGTTATTTCATTTATTCAAATGAAATAACATGTTACAGGAGAATGCAATTCTTTTGGACGAAGTGCCCGCACCTTAACAAAATTACACTTGTGGACTGGCCCTGTGACCGACCATGTTCGCCTATAGCTATATCGAAACTAAATAATCGTGTATCGAAATTTGTTTATGGAAATTCGTTTCCGAGAATCCTTGGTGGAAAAACCGACATTCGTGATCAGATAAAAATAAATAAATTAGAAATGAACGCCCGGTAATATCTGAAGTGAAAATTCGTTTGGTTGTCTGAGAGCAAAACCTTGGCAAGTTTCGATTCTTCAAAAGCAATTTTAGGTGTTTCCTTGATGATGTGTGAGTAGCAATAATTATGCTTTAAATTATAATGACATACAAAGTTGCATTGATTGATGATCAAAGTGTTATGAAATAATGACTCTGAAAACACCAGCAGCGTCCTACTTACCAATTAGAAAGAATCTAATATGGCGTCACATTACTGAAGAGGCAACGGAACAGAGCGACCAATGAGCATTGAACAACTGTTGAACGTGAACATGGCGGATTCTAACATGGCGTATACAATCTCTCTTGGTGTGGGTCTACTGTAGACGAACGAACCATAATAATCACATTAGTTGTGTCGACATTGTTAGTATTAAAACAAGCAAGTTATATGCAGAAGAGATAGGGGATGAATTATCAACAAATCATCCAACTCTAGTGAAATATAGTCCTCACGCCCACACACCCTCATGAAGGTTTAATGCAATTATTGCAATATAACGACAACTCTGGTATTATATTACGTGTACGTTACCTGAAAGAATTATGGCGTCGTAACGTAAGGTCAAAGTGAGTCTGGGATTCCCCCTTCTTAGCATAATCATAACAAATTCAATGCATTGTGCTTCTTGCCACCTGCTATTTTTGTTTGCCTTTTATTCAGTTTAGTCTATTGTGTTTTTCTTGTATGTTCCCCAATCCTCCTTTCAAGTATTCTTTCAATTCTAGTATTGCGCTTGTAAGTAATATCATATCAGCCCAAAATGATAATGCTTGCAGTGGTGTAAGGGGGGGGGGGGGCATGTGACCCCCACTCCCCCGGGGAGTCAAACCAAACTTGACGTACACTTTGTGAAAGGAAGGAGGAGAAAGAAAGAATAAATATTGTTAAAAAGGCAAAGAGAGACAAAGTGTTTGATGTGCACCAGACATGCCAGAGGAAAACGTGCAGAAATTTAAGCTCGTGTACTCCTTACCATTTTTGTTTCAACTTCAACTTTCATTTTCACCTGAATTATCTTAAGTCACATGCAAGTTTTTTGGATTTGCAATAATACGGAAATAACTATATCGTAATTGTTGGAAGTGGAGAAATACATTATTTGTTCTGAAAGAAAACATTACCATCAGTTGATTACGGTGATACAGATTACCAACGGCTGGGGGAGGGGCGGTGTGGGGGGGGGGGCAGGTCCAGGTTTTTTTAAATTTTTTTTTTAGGAAAGGCAGAATTATTCCGAGAAGAAAAAAAATCCTAACAATATAAGAGTGGGCATTTCATGTTCCAAACGGCGGGGGAGCACGGGCGGGCTATATGTCGCAATATATCATTAATGTTTATAAGGTGGGGATTAATGTCAAAACGATTTGGGGGAGAGCTAATGCAAAGTTTCCACTCATGCCTTATTCCTTGTGATCAATAAATTAGCTTAAAATATATATTTATTGTTTTATCATGCCTATATAAAGAGCAAGACTGGGCTCAAGTTTAGTATCATTCATGTATACTGTTTCCATCACTGCCTTTGTAAAAGGTGAGCGGACCAGTCTGTTGTAGAACGATTTGCCCATCGAGCGTCAAACATTTAGAAAGGCTGCTGATAACCTATAATAAGCGATTGTTCAAGGATTTCCTGACTTTTGGAACAAGATAATATATCAGCTTTTCATTGTTTGAAGAAAAAAAATACACAATGGTGTTGTGTGTGATTTTTTTCCCTCCTGCCTCTCCTTTGAGAATTATGTATTTGTTCATTGTTAAGTGTTTATTAGGCCCTATTATAAGTACCCTGTGCATAATAATTCAAAATTTTCTCCATCTTCTTCGCTTGTTTATTTTTCTCCTCCTCCTATTCTTCTTCTTCTCCTTCTTCTTCTTCTTCTTCTTCTTCTTCTTCTTCTTCTTCTCCTCCTTCTTCTTCTTCTTCTTCTTCTTCTTCTTCTTCTTCTTCTTCTTCTTCTTCTTCTTCTTCTTCTTCTTCTTCTTCTTCTTCTTCTTCTTCTTCTTCTTCTTCTTCTTCTTCTTCTTCTTCTTCTTCTTCTTCTTCTTCTTCTTCTTCTTCTTCTTCTTCATTCTCCTCTAATTCCTGTTATTGCTGTTTTGTTGTTTTCATACTAGACTATATATATACAAAAACAATAAAAAAAGAACACTTGAGCTGACGACGATCTTTCCGCGCGCGCGAGATCCGATTCCAACGGTAAATTTATGCGCGCACCGATGCTCATAGATCTGTAAAGCTAGTGTAATCCGGAGGCTATTTTCCACAGCAAAAACCACGGTTTTCTATAAACGACCGTGGGTGAATGCTGTTTTCTGGTGCCAAGAGATCCGGAAATGCAAAAATATGAGCGACTTGAGAAAATTGGAGAAGGTAAGCGTTATGATAGCTGAAAATAACTCGTATTTTAATAGGTGTATTTGTGATGTAGTCCCATTCATAGGTTCCAGTGTAGTTTTAGTGTTTATTTATTTGAGTTGTTTTTGTTTTGAGCCAATTCGAATCATATAGATCTACTAGTCAACTGAATTACAATGAATCGAACGACACAACCAGGATTAATCCACTTATTGAAAATCTTGTTCTTACATACGTATATTGGATAGATAGACCTAGATGTAGATCTAGATTATATTAAACTTGAACTGAAGTTGAGTGATGTCTGATGATGCAATGATGAGTCGAAATTTGAATCGGACACATCAGATTTTTTTTTCTCCAGATTTCAAATGATTGAGGTTGTTGAGTTATATAAATGAAATTGAGTTACAAGATGAAGTAGCCCTACTCGCAAAAGTTGCCAGGCATGTAAACGATCTTCATAAAGTTGCTTGTTACTTGGTAGGATTCCTCCTAATGACGCCTTAAAGCTAAAGGTGTTTAAATTGTGTCGTCATGTGCGGCCACCAACTTAAAGGGGCATGTTCCCCGTATTCCAGAGGGCGTTCAAAATACGTACCCGCTGGCGGACGGTGCTAGCTGCCTATTGACACCAACAGAATACGGCTCTTACGCAGATGGCATGTTCCGAATGCCCGCACAATGCCGATTATCGCATACATGTGCCGAAGTAATAATACCAATCGCAGTTCGGCTCTAAGATTCGGCTGCTGTTTCCGCCCACTTTCGTGACGTCACAATCGGCAGCGATCAGCTGGCTTGGCGAAGGCAGACCAGGACGCGCGTACTTTGATTGACAGCTGTATGCAAATAAGAAGTCGATCTTCGGAACCAAGATGGCGATGACTAGAGCAGCGATAACTACACTGGCGGGAACGTGCCCCTTTAAGGTGCTGGTTTTAAGTTGATTTTTTTATCGGCCCAGTTGACCAGGGTGTTAGGGTCTGTTTGTAGTATTTCCTCATCTTTGGGTGATCTTATGGTGTAGTACTTGTTGATTAAGCAATCATCCGCAAAGAGTCTGGTAGGGGTAGGACTCTTACTTACTTTGGTTTACTTTGGTGTTGAGGCTTGAAGCTTCAGCTTATGTGCCCCTCTTTACTGCATCGGATTCGCCTTGGTATTGGTGGTATTTCAGCGGATGGCGCTTCCAATGATTTTCGAGTTCTGACTTGAACTTATTGATTGATGAGGCATTTATGGCAATTTCAGGAAGGTTATTCCAATTATTTATGCTCCACACTGAAAATGACATCTGCCTCATCTTAGACTTGCAGTGGGGCTTCCTTATTTTGAGCCTGTGTCCCCTTGTTCTGGATTCCTCGATGATATCAAACATATCTTCAGTCGTTAAAGCGTATAAATACTGTAGGAAGTCACATTAAAGGTCTTAGATTTTTGTAGATTTGTACTTTATGTTGCAAAAATATCTCTTGTGAAAAACGATAAAATCATCCACTCCTCCAGGCCATGTAGGCCTATATGACTTTGCGGTTTGCACAATATAAATATAAAAAGAGCAATAGACATATTTTCATTACAGAAAATGTGATGCCATTGTTGAAATCTTTCTAGCTCTATAGACTTTTACAGGCTTGGTTTATGTCTGTAGGCCTACTCAATGAGAGGTGACAGAGATCTATTTCACAAGATGGTCGCAGAAGTTATATAAGAATTCTTTGCAGTACTTAGACTCTAGACTGAAACAAAAGATGTGAAAACAAAGTTCAAAGGAAATTTGGAGAAAGTAAGGGAAAATGAGGTTGAGACGCCATGGGGTCTCCCACAAAAGGAAGGGAATAATTCAGGAGAAAAAAGGATTTGAATCTTAAATCACGTAATTCAACAACATCAGAGAATGCAGCTTTTTTAGGGGTACTCATTTTTCATCTATGAACTATTACACTTGGACTTTGTAGTTTGGGTACCCTGTAATTGAACTTGTATCCTTTGAAAATCATGAATTGTCTTTTTTGTCTTCTAACTTTTTGTACAGGAACATATGGAACTGTTTTTAAAGCGAAGAATCGTGAAACACAAGAGATAGTAGCACTTAAGAGGGTGCGACTAGATGATGATGATGAGGTAAGTATAATTTACAGCAATACCAAGAAAAATACAAAAACAAATAATAATTAAGCATGAATACTACAGATTATACAGAATGATAGACCTGGATCATGGTAGCATTATTCTGAAGAAAAACATTTAAAAAATATTGACTGTTTAGAGCCAGGGCATCATTTTACGAAACCAACACAAGTACAAGATCACCAAAATCTTGATAATTTTAATGATATGCATTTCAACAGATTGTCCGCAAACTTTATAATTTTTTTTTACTTATGACAGTTTCTTAGAGTGCCCTGATACCTTGATATAATATGGTAATCCCTTTTAGCAGCTCCTAGAAGCTGATATGCTCTGGATCAGAGTGAGATGCCAAGGTGAAGAAAATAGAAGTATTTTCACATATATCGTCCTTGTTTTCACAAAGTTACGGTAGTGAGGAAAATCGTCACGCAAAGTGAATGCAATTTTTTTTCACTACCGTCACTTCATGAAAACAGCGACGATATGTACAATAAAGTGTGAGTGTGCACCATGCAAGTCAAACATGCCTCTGTGCTTATAGCATTTGGGACCCAACAAGAGGTTGCATTTCATGTACGACTGGTAGTGAAGCCTCTCTGAATGCAGATGGGTTGGTGATTCTAACAACAAATTGCCTTTTATACAGTAGGTTTACGGTTGCACCATGTTAGAGAGGGGGGAGGACTACACACACACACACACACTCAAGAAAGAAAGATTACAGACAGTCCTTTTCAGTACTCCCCAAATCCTCCCCCTCTTTCTCACATGGAGCAACCATAAACCTACTGTATATCTACAGTGTGTCTCTAAAAAAAGTAAACCCAACTTCAACGGCAAATTTTCAGAAAACTATAAAATATTTACACATTATTTTGTCATGGTTAGATAGTCCAATAAGTCCTCTGTCCAATTATATCACTTAGGTTATCTGACGCTCATGCATGACTGAGCATGATTCAACTTAGTGAACTGGTGTCAAATCATCACTGTGGCAAGTTATTTCTTGCTATTGTCATGCATTCAGGGCCTATTTGAAGTTAAATCTTTGTCACATGTTAGGCCTATGATTACATAACAACTTCAGCAAAGGTTGTTCCTAACACAGGCACACTTCACATGCTTTCCAAACATGGTACAGTTGACAATTGAGCAGAGAGTATTCCTGGTAACTCGATACCAGGAAACAAGAAGTTTCGTGGAAGTTCAAGATGCTTTTCGGGTGCAGTTCCCCGAGAGGCAGCCTCCAACAAAAAGAGCCATCTGGTACAATGTGAGAAAGTATGCTGATCACGGAACCAGTTTGAACAGGAATAAAGGACACTCTGGCCACAGACGAACTGGGAGGTCTGCTGAAAACATCCAAGTGGTAAGAGAGGCCATCCAAGCCAACCCACGCATAAGCACCAGGAGAAATGATACTGGAATACCACGCGCAACTTTTAACAGAATAGCAAGACTGGATTTGCATCTCCATCCATATCATGTTCATGTTCAGCACCAACTTCTACCAGCTGATTTTCCCAGACGACTTCAATTTTCACAATGGTTTGTGAACCGGTGCAACCGAGATCGACAGTTCCTCCAGTTTTTTACCATCGGGGATGAAGCAACGTTTTCCATGGATGGAATGGTAAACACCCACAATGAGCACGAGTATGCTGAACTCCATCATCCACCGGGATATGCTTTTAATAAGAACATGAGCAGGGAGAAAGTGAGTGTCTGGATTGGTCTTTGTGGCAATGGTTCATTGGTGGGACCTTACTTTTTTGAAGGCAACATCAATGGCAGGGCGTACCTTGACATGCTGAACAATTTTATTGTGCCTGAGATGGAACAGATCTTCCCCCGACAACGACGGGGAGCATTCCGCAGGGCCTGGTGGGCTCAGGATGGGGTCCCAGCCCACAGACTTATTGCTGTGAGGAATCGTTTGACTGAACTCTTTGGCAATCGCATCATTGCTCTTCATTTCCCAGTTGAGTGGCCTGCACGTTCACCAGATCTGACACCATGCGATTTCTTTCTTTGGGGGTATCTTAAAGGAAAAGTGTTCCAAACCCCACCGGCCACAATTCAGGAGCTGAGGCAACAGATAACAGGTGAAGTGAACCGATTACGACAAGATCAGGGAATGATCAGGCGTGCTGTCAGGGACATGAGGAGGCGTTGCGAGCTTTGCATGGAAAGGAATGGCGGTCATGTCGAGGGTACACATCCCTAAGCTATGCTTGTAAGAAATCAGACATTTCCTATGTCATTTGATTGATGAACTTCCAGTGCAATTCTAACTTGCCACAGTGATGATTTCACACCCATTCACTAAGTTGAATCATGCTCAGTCATGCATGAGAGTTACATAACCTACGTGGTATCATTGGACAGAGGACTTATTGGACTATCTAACCATAAAAAATAATGTGTAAATATTTTATAGTTTTCTGAAAATTTGCCGTTGAAGTTGGGTTTACTTTTTTTAGAGACACACTGTACATCACCAGGCAAGCCGATACTTATAAGCAGCATCTGAATTGCCTTTTCGTCGGCCGGGTGGCAGAAGGACGTTGCGCGAGCGACTCATAAACTACTTTTTGAATTATTCGCATTTAAAGATTTGTGTTATATTTAAACTGCTTTCCGTCCCGAAAATTGGTTTAAAAGATAAAAGACTAATAGAAATGTTGTAGTAGAACACGGCCACAATTTTTTTGTGGAAATAAGTCAGTTTTATAAAAGTTTGAGGTGATTTAGTGCTAACGCCCTTCTGCTTAAAGTTTCATTATTGACCTAAAATTCGAGCTAACGCCCTTCTGCCAGCCAGGCGACGTTTTATACTCACAGTCTTTCTTTCACTTTCTCAGGGAGTACCAAGTTCTGCGCTGAGAGAGATCTGTCTCCTGAAGGAGCTGAAACACAAGAATATTGTCCAGCTGTATGATGTCCTTCACAGCGAGAAAAAACTGACCCTCGTCTTTGAGTACTGTGATCAGGACCTCAAGAAATACTTTGATACGTGCAATGGAGAGATTGACCCTGATACTGTGAAGGTATTGATGTTGAGATGATGAAGATGGAATGATGGTGGTAGTGATGGTGGTGGTGATGGTGGTGGTGATGATGATGGTGATGGTGATGATGATGAAAGTGGTGATGATGCTGCTGCTGGTGATGGTGGTGGTGCTGATGATGATGGTGGTGGTGCTGATGATGATGGTGGTGGTGCTGATGATGGTGATGGTGATGATGCTGCTGCTGGTGATGGTGGTGGTGCTGATGATGATGGTGGTGGTGCTGATGATGGTGATGGTGATGATGATGAAAGTGGTGATGATGCTGCTGCTGGCGGTGGTGGTGGTGCTGATGATGATGGTGGTGGTAGTGGTGGCGGTGGTGGTAGTGGTGGTGGAAGTGGCGGTGATGGTGATGGTGATGATGATGAAGATGACATTATGTTTATACCTGTTATGTAGGGTGAATGTCATAGTGGAGATGATGATGATGAAAATGTTGAAAATGCTGCTATATCATATGATAGTGGTGATAGATATAGGAAACATTGTAGTTTACGGTGTCAATAAAAGTCATGATTAATGCGTTGATAGTATTGCAATATTTTGTGACAATGATGATGACATGTAGGAGATGATGATGATGATCAGGATAACAATGACAATAATGATGATTGATTGGATCACATTCATTTATTCCTTTGCTCATGTTTCGCTACTTTGTTGTGAGACAGTGTATAGCCTATGAAGTTTCCATGCTAATCTACCCCTTTATGTCTTTCTTCTAAACAGTCATTCATGTACCAGCTGTTGAGAGGCTTGGCTTTCTGTCACAGTCATCATGTTCTTCACCGTGATCTCAAACCACAGAATCTCCTCATTAACAAGGTAAGTCAGCGATCAAAATCAAAATCGGTTCAGAGACGGCTGAAATATCAATAAACGATTTCTAATATTTGTGTACCACCACAAATATTCGATAATTTGAAAAAGCCAATGAAAAAACGAAATAGCGCCTTATACGTTGTGTTTCAGCCAATGCTGTTGTTGGATTTTTCATTGGCTTTGTCGTGTTGGTTATATTACACACAACCAGCCGGCCCATGTTTTGTTATTATTAATTAATTAATTAATTAATGGTCACCATATTTTTTTGAAAGTGGAGCTGAATTAGTATGATCGTATTGGCTAAATTGTACACATTTTGGGGTCTAATATTACCTTCATAGCAATTTAAGGTCCCAACAGGGCACTAGAAATGTCATAGATAAGAATAAGAGCAATAAGCATCCACTTTGAAGGCATTTGCGGTCTGAAACGGAACTCAACTATCCCTTTAAGATTGATTCATTACAATCAATTGTGACATTTGGCCAATTTCCCTATTATAAACGTCCTTGGAAATCAAGCGTAATGTACTCTTAATTTGAAGAGATATGCTTGATTTGTCAAAGTTACGCTTGATTTATTAATCTTACGCTTAATCGTAAATCTTTATAATGCGGGCCCTTATGTCAGAGACTGCTTATGATTTACTTAGGTCTATTAGAGAAAGACACTTGTCTAGCAAGGCATGAACTTCCAAAGATTGTGGAAAATAAATAAGTAGACAAAAATATAACCACAAACAAACTTGCCAAGTCAGTGGGAGTATGCTTGACTTAGTAGTATATTAGAGTCAAACCTGTCTATAGTGACCACCCAAGGGAAACTCAAAAAGTGGTTCTTGAAGACAGGTAGTCTTTGTAGACAGGTTCCTTTAGTATGTGTTTCAATGAGAAACCATTTTCAAGGGTAACACAATATGTGGTCTTTGTAGAGAGGTGGTCACTAAAGCAGGTTTGACTGTATTTATACCCAGTGCCAGTTGATAAGAGTATGTAATGACTGTAATGAGCAAGGAAAGATATGGAAATGGAGCTAGTACAGTCTTCCTGACCAGATGTTTGACATATTGTATTCCATGTGCATAATCTGATTTGTGTCTTTCAGTGAATGAATTTCAAGCAGGTTTTTGTAGAAGTTTGTTGTACTGGTAAAAACAGACCTACTACATAAGAAATAATTCAGAGTTATGTTTTGTCTCAAAATTATTATTACCATGAGACAAAATTGGTTGTAAATTCAATTATTTTCCTTTGATGCTTCACTTTTCCAGTATAGACTCTATTAACATCTCACTACATTTATCTCAACTTCATGCCACACAGAATGGAGAGCTTAAGCTAGCTGATTTTGGTCTTGCCCGTGCCTTTGGCATTCCAGTGCGTTGCTACTCCGCGGAGGTCGTGACCCTGTGGTACCGCCCACCTGATGTCCTGTTCGGTGCTAAGGTCTACACCACCTCCATTGATATGTGGTCTGCTGGATGCATCTTTGCAGGTAAACGATAGTTGGCTCATTATTCTTATCATTGCGGGCCATTCCTAGGACAACCATTTCAGTTACGAAAAAAAAAATACATACACTACCTTTTGTTAATTCAGTTTCAGAACAGTGCAATTATGGTGTGATAGATTTTCCTACAATTGCTGGCAGTTTCTAAAATTAACTATTGTGTGATAGAAAAATGACTTACATATATCAATACACTCGATGCTCTTATGGATGTAAAATAACAAAACTCATTTAGAGTTTATGGAAGTGAGATCAGTGAAGCCGAAGTATTGGCCCGAAGGGTCATCAAATTTGTATAGCATTAAGCCTGCAGACTCGCATGACAATGACAAGCTTGCGTTTTCTACAAGTTAAACCTTTTGCAAATCTTGCTTGATTCCATTTTTTCTTATATATGTTGTGTAATTGCAAACAATAGCAAACAACAGCTAATTGTTGACAGCTGGTAACACCAGCAGTCCCTGTACTAAATGAGAGACCGAATAGACCAATCAGATTGATTCGCTGCTGCTCAGATGATGTAATGTAATCTATCAAAAACAAAAGGTAACTAATCAATTTTTAACATTTATGTAAAATGAGAAATTTGTGGAATGCACAAGGTAATGGTATAAAAGTGTACACTTATATCGGAGAAAGGTAACATTGCATGAAACAAAAGCAACTAGATTTAAAAACTAAACTGACCCTACCGGAATAATAAAATGAAAAAATAATAAATGAATTAAAAAATAATAAGGAAACAGCACCAGGGGAGTGTTTCACAAAGACTAAGATCGACTTTAAGTCATACTTAACTATGGCAGGCCATTAATGCCACTGTTTGCTCTCACCATTATGATCTTTAGATAATATTCTTTTCCTTCAATAATGAATTAAATAAAAATGTAGATTTGTGACCACGATTATTTTGAACATCCCTTGAGAGACCAATGCCAGTAAATGGTGAGAGCAAACAGTGGCATGAACAGCCTGCCATAGTTAATTTTCGCTTAAAGTCTATCTTAGTCTTTATGAAACACATTACCCTGTTCCTGCTCCATTCATGCCAAGTTATCACCATTACTTCCTGTATCTTTGTTCTTTATTCAGAGATGGCTAATGCGGGGCGCCCTCTGTTCCCTGGTAATGACGTCGAGGATCAGCTCAAGAGGATCTTCAAGCTCCTTGGTACACCCACAGAGGATACATGGCCAGGAATATCAAAACTCCCTGATTTCAAGGTAAGCAATTTATGACCTAGTCTACCCTCTAACCCTCCTTTTAGATGAGGACAATTCAACATACAGCTATGCAAAAAACATAAATGTAGATATCATAATTGTTTCACTTATTTCTCATATGTAAGTCTCGTAGTATATCAGAGCATCCTCCTGTGAGCAAACACAGAGAGAAATAATTAATGAACAAATAGACTTTGAGCGCAACTGATCTATAATTGCCTCTTGTTGAAACTTGCCTTCAATTGTACCAGCCAGCCATTAAATGCAATTCAACAGCAATATTGTACTTTAGGATAAACTTTGGGGATCTTTTTGTGTGATTTTTCATTTGTTGATTGTATTTAGTTGAATGAATGAATGCATTTCATTGAATGATAGGAAAAATGTTTTTTTTTCTATTTATCAAGGCTCATTCAGTTATTGACTATAATCCATTTATAATCTGTTCTCTCTCACAGCCATACCCTATCTATCCTGTGACCACACCCCTGGCCTCTGTCGTGCCCAGTCTATCAGCAACAGGAAGGGATCTCTTGCAGGTCAGATATGATGCGTTTTTGTTTTTTTGCACAATAATATTAAAATACACTGCCACCTATCCACCACAGACTGTTAAATGATTTACTAATAATAATTATCCTTGCTTATATAGCGCCTAACACCTACTTTATCAGAAGTCTCTAAGCATAAGCGGGACTGCACTACTTGTAGCTACTTGCGCCCTCTATATATCCAACAAAACTTAAGTGGTACCCGTTGACCCCCCATGGTCCCCTTTTTCTTATGTTAATTGAGAGCTGACTTGATGAGATAACCACCTGTCAGTGACCATGCAGGGAGGTCTAATTCCTCCATTCCAAAGTATGCATATAGGCTTTAAATGTTGTACTACCAGTAAACATAATGCTTCACCGTTTCATTATATTTTATTTGGCGAAAGGATGATGATGACATATCACCCTTAACCAATTGACTGCATTAGATTATTTAGATATTCTCTTATTCCCATAGACTCAATACAGTACGATCTTTTTCTAGTCAGCAATTGTAAAGTAATTGTAATTTTGATAAAACAATACATCCTGAATGATTTTTTGAGATGGTGCATATATTCTAAGCTTCCACTCCATGCCTTACCCCCCCCCCCTCCACACACACACACACACACATGACCCTGAAGATGAATCAGTTTTCTGAGTCCAGATTTTTGTTCTTTCCAGCATTTTACTTGTATGAGCGCAAGAGAAAGTTGTTTGAACTCCAATGCAGGGTATTCTTTGACACTACTTCAGATTATGCTGCTATCTGCTTCTCACAATGAACTGATATGTTAACAGCCATGTCCCATAATGCATCACTTACTGAAACTTAGGTAGAAGACCCTGGAAATCATTCTATGTAGCCCTTCACGGAAAGATGGTGCAATTGAAAATACATTACAGTTGTAATATCAATGTTGGTAAAATACCCTGCCGTAAAAGATTTCTTCAGTTCTGGGGCCCGTTTCATAAAACTTTTTATCAATAAAAAATGCTAAATTTCTATGACAAATTTGCTCTCAGTCAATCAGATGCCATGATTTCAGTAGCTTATAAAAGTAGCTTGTAACTTGTTATTGATATCAAGTTTGCTCTCAGCCAATCAGATGCCATGATTTCAGTAGCTTATAACAGTAGCTTGTAACTTGTTATTGATATCAAGTTTGCTCTCAGCCAATCAGATGCCATGATTTCAGTAGCTTATAACAGTAGCTTGTAACTTGTTATTGATATCAAGTTTGCTCTCAGCCAATCAGATGCCATGATTTCAGTAGCTTATAACAGTAGCTTGTAACTTGTTATTGATATCAAGTTTGCTCTCAGCCAATCAGATGCCATGATTTCAGTAGCTTATAACAGTAGCTTGTAACTTGTTATTGATATCAAGTTTGCTCTCAGCCAATCAGATGCCATGATTTCAGTAGCTTATAACAGTAGCTTGTAACTTGTTATTGATATCAAGTTTGCTCTCAGCCAATCAGATGCCATGATTTCAGTAGCTTATAACAGTAGCTTGTAACTTGTTATTGATATCAAGTTTGCTCTCAGCCAATCAGATGCCTTGATTTCAGTAGCTTATAACAGTAGCTTGTAACTTGTTATTGATATCAAGTTTGCTCTCAGCCAATCAGATGCCATGATTTCAGTAGCTTATAACAGTAGCTTGTAACTTGTTATTGATATCAAGTTTTATGAAACAGGGACCAGAAAGCACACATCCATACTATCCTATGTCTACATTGCATTGAATTTTGTCTCTTGTTTTTTATTTGCTTTTCTCAGCGTCTGATGATGTGTAATCCAGCCCTGAGGATGTCAGCGGAAGAGGGACTCATGCATCAATACTTTGCGGATCTCAACTCTGTTGTCAACTAGAGGGGGCAGTATTTTTATTGTGCAACTCGTAAATCAATTAATGTCATTCTCAAGAAGCAGAGCAGTAAGAGAGTTTATGAGATTAAGAACTAAGAATATCCTAGTGAAAACAAATGCAGTCAGTAATATTACTCAAAATGTGAAAACATTGGAGTTGAAATTAAGGGACAGCATGGTTTATGTATAAAAGATTATACATATGTATGATAATTATCGTAAGGTGTGTCAATATTTGAACTTTCCTGCCCAAACTATTGATACACCCTATAATTAAATATTTGTGAGTAAAAGAGATGTCGCAATGTCATATTATGATGGTATACTTGAGATATTCAATATTTTGAAAAGGAGAATATTACTATTTAACTATAAAGATGCAGGAAACCCTATTGTGCTTTAGTTTTTAATGTAAGAGGAGACGCAACACACTGGCTCCAGAGGGCTCTAAACTCTCCGGTCACCGGAAGAAGAACTCGCGGGAGACCCAGAAAAACTTGGAGGGAAACCATAGAAGAAGATGCTAAAACATCAGGCTTTAGTTAATAGCTACTTGGAAAGCAGCCATTAAGGAAATGACATGTCCAACCCCACAAAGTGGGACAAATGGACTCTTAACGCTGATGATGATGATGTGACTTTTGTTGAAGGCAGATCCCTTTAAAATGCTGAATTTAAAGAGTCATATTTTGTGGATCCTACCAAAGTTATCCAGTGAACCCGAACACCATCAAACATTTCCCATCAAACTTAATGAAGTGAGCCAGAAGGTTTAAAACTCACATATCTAAATTCCTTCTGACTCTCAAATTGAAAGTTTTTTGACGATCGGTTAATTCATCATACATTCCTGCTGTTCAGTTGAACATGGACGTTAAAAAGTGGCAAGATTAGACAGATGTATTAAAATGCTGTGTGTATCTTTGTTGTGGTTTAGTGAATTTGATCGTATAATGATGTCCTATTTCAAACCAGCACAGCGTTAAGCATTATTTGTTGTTCTTAGGATTGTGGTCCTCATGGTGGTCATTTAAGATCTTAGGGGAGTATGAAATGTTTATAAGTGGGGGTAAAGACATTTGATTGAATGTATGTACTACATACAAGTATACATCTGTAATAGATCTGTAAAGCACTTAGAGGCACCGTCGATGTATGAAGAGAAATATAAGTCCAGAATATTATCAATATTATGAGATGAAATGGGGGGGGGGGGGGGGGAGGAGGGGAGGGGTGTGGTTTTGACACTGACCAATATTTGTATGTTAGGGGTCACAGACTTATCAGGAATGACCAGAAGGATAAAAGGTTCAATAATATAGAGAACTGCTTGCCTGAACTCTGATGCAGTATTGTGATGGTTAAACTTTTTTGTTGTGGTACTTTTGTTGTTGTTGTTGTAATTCACTTGAAATTTGATGTTTATCTTTTGAGTATTTGTATTTCCTGAACTTTAGTGAAGTCATTTTATGTTTTGCCTGATCCTAACTACAATCAGTGTTCAGATGATAACAAATGGCACTGTGTGCCTGACTGAGAAGATATTGCTTAGAGAAGTCAATTTTATTGTATGTTGTGAATGTTGCACTGTGCCCAGTTTGTACAATATATCAGAGATAGGTGTATGAAGGAGCTCCCTATGTCTGTGTACCTAACATATCATTTAAATCTGATTAAAATTATCCTTTGTATTTCCCTTATGCTTTATCTCATCTTATCCCTTACGCTCTAGAGAGTAAGTGTGCCGAAAATGTTGTCAACATTTAAGCAAGAATGAAGTCATTTTCACTGGAAAATGCTGTGATGGCATTTTATGATATGGTACAAAACAAAGAACATCCCTATGAGAAAACAATGTTCTTAACAAAGATATTTGAATGTGATTAGAGGTAATTAAACTGAATCCTTTGATTGAGCCGCAATGGGGACTACAACTCTTTCTATTTCTCTTTCTTTATGTCTATATGTTATGCCCTATTTTGGCAAATCCATTTTCATTTGCAATGTTATTGTCATATACATGGATCTCTGTATAAGTATGATCTATATGTTCCAATGTCTATTTCGATTATGAAATGAATGCTGTTGCAATGGCATTTGTATATTCAAGCATACGATTTCCAACAAAGATAAGTTAAGGGCATTTTTTGTACAAAAAAAAAATACCTTGCACTTTACAACTATTTAAAAGAATTAAGAGGAGAGTAAGAAGATAATGTATAAAACAAGAAATGTATTTATATTACATCAGGAATCTGCTGTAAGCACCTATGCTATTCCACACTAGTGTTATAGTATTTTAACCAGGAGAGATAAGGATATCGCTTTATGAACATGATTGCAAAGATTATAAAGAAATCTACTTGAGGGCTATATTTCCCTATTGTATATCCCATAGAAATCCTGCTATGATTATGTAACACATCATTATAATGTGGCATTTTACAATAGATCACAAACGAAGCGATTGAAATTGCCTTGGGGTGAGTTGTTGAACGTCTTTGGGATCGTGTATATGAGAATACATCAGCCAAAAGGATGTAGGCTCTGTCAACCCTTATGACTCTCGTAAGAAACTAAAGGGATTGGTTTTGTATCCGCTATGTTTTGAGTGTATTTATGTGAATAGAATATACAAGGGCCAGCCAGACATGGCTGTTGATTGTATTGTTGTTGTTTGTTGCTATTAAATATTAAATCATCTGTGAAATTTTAACAGATAATATCTGGAGACAGTGCTTGTTTGTTTGTTTATTTATTTATTCATTCATTCATTCATCATCATCATCCTCATCATCAACATCATTTTCATCAATATCATCATCATCATCATCATCATCATCATCATCATCATCATCATTCTCACCATCATCATCACCAGCATCATCATCATCATCATCACCATCATCATCATCATCATCATCACCATCATCATCATTCTCACCATCATCATCACCAGCAGCATCATCATCATCATCATCATCATCATCATTCTCACCATCATCATCACCAGCATCATCATCATCATCATCACCATCATCATCATCATCATCATCACCATCATCATCATCATCATCACCAGCATCATCATCATCATCATCATCATCATCATCATCATTCTCACCATCATCATCACCAGCATCATCATCATCATCATCATCACCATCATCATCATCATCATCATCATCATCATCATCATTCTCACCATCATCATCACCAGCAGCATCATCATCATCATCACCATCATCATCATCATCATCATTCTCACCATCATCATCATCACCAGCATCATCATCATCATCATCATCATCATTCTCACCATCATCACCAGCATCATCACCAGCAGCAGCAGCATCATCATCATCATCATCATCATCATCATCATCAATATCATCATCATCATCATCATCATCATCATCATCATCATCATTCTCACCATCATCACCAGCATCATCATCATCATCATCACCATCATCATCATCATCATCACCATCATCATCATTCTCACCATCATCATCACCAGCAGCATCATCATCATCATCATCATCATCATCATCATCATCATTCTCACCATCATCATCACCAGCATCATCATCATCATCATCACCACCATCATCATCATCATCATCATCACCATCATCATCATCATCATCACCATCATCATCATCATCATCATCATCATCATCATCATCATCATCATCATTCTCACCATCATCATCACCAGCATCATCATCATCATCATCATCACCATCATCATCATCATCATCATCATCATCATCATTCTCACCATCATCATCACCAGCAGCATCATCATCATCATCACCATCATCATCATCATCATCATTCTCACCATCATCATCATCACCAGCAGCAGCATCATCATCATCATCATCATCATCATCATCATCATCATCATTCTCACCATCATCACCAGCATCATCACCAGCAGCAGCATCATCATCATCATCATCATCATCATCATCACCAACATCATCACCAGCATCATCATCATCCACCACTATTATCAGAATTACTGGCAATTGCTTGTTCTGCATTCTATCATCTCTAAAATTGATTTTGTTGTTGTTGTTGTTGATTTTTGTTGATTTTTTTTTTTTTTTTGGGGGGGGGGGTCGTTTGATTTGATTTGATTTCATTTATTGGTTTCTGCATCTTTTTTCTTTTTTCATCAACATGCTCATGAAAATAATATGGTTTGGTACAATATTTTAAGTGTATATAATTTTATACAGATAATAAACAAAATTAAACAAATATATTGAATGCATAATTAACATACATTAGATGCAGGAGGGCTACAGAAATAAGCAAAGTAGCTTATGATCCCTGCAGTAATACTATATTCTTTTTTTGCTCCTAATTACGTATCTAACAATGTAACAACGATATTTTTATGACACATTATTTATTTAGTGAACCCCTCATGTTTGGTGCTTAACTCCCTCCCTCCTCCCCCAGATATCATGAAGTGAATTAATTAAATGTAATACAAAATAGTGAAAAACCCAAACAAATTATCAGATTAATATGGTTTTGAATTTGATTAATCAAAACTACAATGAGGTATGAAGAAATCAAAGATAGAAGTATCATAGTTCCATAACAATTTCTTCATATTCCATTTCCAATTCAATGTATTTGTGTTACATTACAAATCAATTATAAACATTTACAGCAATTTAGGAATGCATATTTGAAACGGAGGGTTTCACTAAAAAGCAATGCTTGCACAATTGTGGACCCCTCATATTAATCTCCAACTTTATAACTTACCTGTCGACTCCAATGTTACATGGTTCTTTGGATATATTAGGTTGGGTGGGGGTAGGGGTAGGATCTAGAAGAATATGTATATATATATATATATATTTTTTTTTTAAATTTATTTATTTATTTATTTATTTATTTATTTATTATTATTATTATTTTTTTTTTTGGGGGGGGGGGCTGGTGCTTGGGGATTCTTTCATACATTTTCTACATGTACCTTGCTTGAATTAATTTACAATCAAGATAAATGTGGGGGGGGGGGGGGTTAAGTACCGAAGGCCCCCCCCCCCCCTCTATCTCCCCTAGAATCGACCTGTACAACTAGCCTATTTGTCACCCATGAATTGTTGATAACAAATAGAAAATAAACTCTTACACCCGGAAAAACACATGTACCAGGCAAACGAAAAAAATGAATAATTCATGTAACATAATAAACCGAAACAACAATGAAATCGAATTTCATCATGAATGCAATTTGAACATAGCATTACTTTATTGTTCTAGTAGGTGTAAAAATCCTGATACCAATTGATCTCTGACAGGGTTTGTGCTCATCGATAAGGACAATATTTCCCTAGCTAAAGTGTGCGATTTTATTTTTTGTTTTGAGAATATTAATTACCGATTTCTTTATAACTTACAGCTCACTCAATATATTGCACCTCTTGTTGTTTTGATGTTATGCATGAACGGTACACCAGTCCGAAGTCCATACGAGGCATGGACCATGATAGAGGCATGGACACCAAAAGGGGCGTGTACGAATAGGCAGAAACAAAAGATTGTCTATAATCAACGGATTAGGGAATCTAGTGTGAAACGTACAATTCTGACAATTGTCACTTCTGTAAAACAGTACTGTCAAGAGGCATCCATAGCGTTTCTCTCCTCATTTAGCTCTTGCTTACAGACATGAAGATAAGATAAGCTACGAAATTAGCCATCGAAGTGTACTTTGATGGATCAGAATTTTTGTTAAAGAGGATTTTATTGTGGTGCCAATCTGTTGTACCAACATCCCAAAATAATATGTTAACCAAACATAACGTAGAGCACAGTGCTACATCCTCGCTGTGTAGAATCCTTTGTTCTCATTTTCGGCGCACAAAACAAAGTTCATAAATCTGGTACAAGCCTATGACAGTCACCTACCGGCGAACTTGCTCCGAAATCAACTTCTGATCAGTGTATCTGGAAAATCACTTTGTCTACTTCAAAGACTAGTTGACATTGGGATCGCATTAGAGACGTCACTGGTCCGTCCCCAAGGGGTCCGTCTCCCAGCTCAACTCCCCCAGAAAACAGAATTCACTACCTTCCTACAAGAATATATTAGTACAGCATATATTCTTGAACGAGAGGAAGTTTTTGGAGGTATTTCTTGCTGAGTAGACTCTTACCGGAATCATTGATGATTGTATTGTTGATGTAGAGAGTGAAGAGGAAGGAAGATGTCTGAGAGCAGTATGGATTCAAACAATGGGGCAGTCCTAGATCCAAGGATTAAGGTAAGTTTATATTTAATTGTTTATTTCGTTAGTTCTTGGTTTCGAAGACAAAAGAAACGATGCTTTAAATTGAAAGGTGACTTTGATTAAGCATCAACTATTCGTACAAAAGCTTAATAACAAAATTCCAAATTTTAGTTCTTTGAAGAAGAAATTTATTCAATATTATGAAGACGAGAGATATATTCATTCTATATCTGGTATGTTTAACAACATTTGTTTGTATGTAGAACAAGGAGAGAAATGTGAAAGCATTCTCTTTTGTTTGACTTAATTTCATTGAATCGTAAAATGTTATGTTTGACTCAATTCATTAGCCTATGGAGGGCTAAAACGTTAAAAATATATTTATCCTCATCTTATGACCTTTCGAATAGTAATGGGCAATATCATAAGGTGCACCTTGAAAGACTTGGGCTAATTCTTGGCGATGTCTTTTATAATGTAGATACACCCTACCTCTCTCTCTGTCTGAAGGTTAAACATTCATTTATATCATATATCTTTTTATATTATTTTATATTATTTATATCTTTTTAGACATGCAGTGATACGTTTAATTTGTGTCACTTCTGGTTATTGTCATCTTTACTCTTACACTCATTTATCTATGTATGATTTATTATCCAATGTATAACAAAACAATAATAGAGAATGATCTTATTTGTGTGGATTTAAAGCAATACAATTTAAATTGAATTAGATCTTTTAAATTTTACGGGGTGGGGGTGGGGAGGAGTCTTCAACTTTATTAAGTGTCAACATTTTCTGTAATGTATTTTATACTTTTCTATACTTTTCTGTCTCTTTCTGTCTCCCCGGCTATCTCCCAAGCCCTTCTCTATCTTTCCCCCATTTCTTTGTTCCTAAAGTATATTTTTTTCCCTTTATCATTACAATGTGCTTCTTTAAAAGGTCTTACATTCAAACGTATGTTCAATATAATGACCTCAGTAATGTCTGTTACCTATTTCAATGCATTTCGCGTGAAAGGGTTAATGGTAACGTATGATGTGCATTAAAAAAATGAAAACAAAATAAAAATAAAAAGAATACTTCGTACCAAAATAAAGTAACTGTCAAATTCATTTTAATATGTGAATGCTAAAAATAAAGTGGACTATCGTATAGTGCAATTGATTTTTCGTTATATGTTTTACATTACTTCGCGGATAACATGGGCGGAACTTGAAAACCAATTAGGCTAACTGTACACGTAGTGTTAAGAGGAAGGTGGTAAGAGCAATACTTCCTATATACAAGATTCATTGACCCATTATTTCCTTGTAACTTTACATTTCATTCTAGTGCGTGACACTGAACATACTGTTTTGTCTACGATGTCGTCATAATATACAACAAAAATCAGCATGTACTTAAACGAGGGGGGGGGGGGGTACGGCAACCAAAGATAAGAAAGGAAAGAAAAAAGACCGCTATCATTTTTTCAGGACTCCCCAATTCTCCCTCTCTCTCTCTCTCTCTCTCTCTCTCTTTCTCTCTCTCACACACATGGTGCAACCGCAAGCCTACTGTATATAATGAAATGTGTTATAACATTTTACGTAACATATTGTCATCTACATGTAAATTAAAGGAAGTGAGATTATATTAAAACAAAATAGATCGAATGTAAATGTCCCAATATCAAATGGTAGATATATTGGTCAAAATTAACGAGGAAATGTAAGAAAAGATTGTATTGCCACAAGTGCAGATTTGCTTAATCGCTTAATAATTGGGTAACATGGAACGTACAATTTTACGTACCATACAGAGATGTCTTACACAAGCATTAATTGAAATGGTCACGTAGCTATCTTAGCAATGTCACTTACATAACGTTAAACTTTTATTACCCAAATATTTGAAATCTAGAGGTTCGTATGACCGAAATAAAAGCAGAAAGGTCACCACGGGTGTCATTAAGTAATGACCTTTGAAATTTGAACACATCTTCTATTTTTATCAGTTTCTTGCTTCGTCAACAAATACTTGTCTAGATAATTATGTGGGACCAAAGGAACGAAGGTCAGATTTGCATAGACAATGAAGGTTAATTCAATATTTGCTAAGGAGATGCTGAAACTGAAGAAGTGTAATGTTTGCGTATTTGTTGGTGTACACAAAAGGGCAATCAAGGGGTCTAAGAGGCTTTAAGATTATTCAACTAAACCTCATAGAGGTGCACACTACCAATCATGTCAGTACATTTATAGGCCTATGTTATTTATGAGAACTGTTATTTTTTTCTCTCATATATGGCGCGACAGTTTGTCATCGTGTTTAACACTCATCCCATATCTCATTCTAGCTCTAGTGATGCAATACAGGCTTTGGGCATGAAGTGTGTGCGTGCGCGTGCGGAAGTGTGTGGATGTGGGTGGGTGGGTGGGTGCCTGCGGGGGGGGGGGGGGGGTTGGGGTGGGGGTGTACAGCCTGGAACAAAATCAGTGGCTAACCCAAAGAGTACATTATGAAAATAAGTGTCCCCTTTCAAATATTGGACGGGGGAGGGGGGTAGTGTGGGACAGCCGATAAAACTATGTTGGTATATACCAGAAGTACAGCCCCTGAAAAGATGTACCCTTTTACAATATTTGATCCCAAATGCACTTTAAATATTTTAATTCCCCTTTTTGCTTGTCTGCGGAGAATCTTTTCAAGTTTCAAATTTCAAGTTTATTTCCATAATCTGATAAGAATACAAAACAATCAAAAGACAAACAAGAATACACCATAAATATAACATAACATATATGGTGGGATCGACAATAGGCCTACAGGCCTGTCTATGGTCAATCCCTTAAGTATATACATCAAAGTCAAATTTAACCCCAAAAAAATGAATAAGATATAACCGAAGGAATGTGTGCCCCCGCCCTTACGAAAACCCGCATCCGTCTCTTCCCTTGGATGATATGATGAACAATGAAGGTATTGAAATAAACGTTAGGTTTGATAAGTAAAGCTGATTTACACCTTTACGAGGACATGTTTCAAAATTAACGTACAGTTGATAGGATTTCCGGCTCAGTTCGTGCTCTGTTATTTAATCAAGTATACATCAACTGTTTTAGAGGGGGTTTGGGGCTCAACCCCTACCCTCATCAATATTCAACATCCAAAAATTGACCATACACGAATTTAAGCGAGGCAGAAATGAATTCGAGAACATCATAGTGAAGCCCCCTCACGACTGTTCTTCTAGAGCCGCGCCTGTATGTACGCGTTCACCACTTGCTTTGATGTTTTGATGTAAACATTTATTCATTTTTATATATTTTTCCCCATTTTCTATGTTTTATTATATATATATATATATATATATATATATATAAATATATGTTTTTGAATGATATTTTTATATGATTGTATATGTTTGCTGTAAACTTGCATTTTTAGTATTTGGACTTTTTGACAAGTATTGAATAAAACCTCATTTGAATCTTGAATCTTGAATGTCAAATAAATGTTAGCTTATCAAAAGAGAAGTACAATTCACTGGTTTATTATTTGCGGATACAATACACTGTGTGTTTAAGTAACTTGAGTACTAATTTCTTCATAAGTTATGCTTAAAGCTGCATCCAATTTAAAAAGCATTCTTTTAATCTCAAATATTATATCATGACCGAGCATATAACGAATGTCCATAACAAAGGACGTTTACAAGTATTAGTCTAAATGAAGCACGAAGCGATATCATCTTTTCTTTATGTTGCCAAAAATTATGTTAGCGGTTAGCCGAGTGTCATGATTATCAGGGAAAGGACGATGTTAAAGATTAATTGCTTAACAAATGTGGACTTTCGCGCTGTCACCTAATTTAGGTCGGTACTATCTATGATCAAATATATATGTTAAGGGCAATAATATTGATAAATGCTCTCTTCCTTCCATTTAGGCTATTACTTAAACAGATCAGAGTACATGTTGATCGTTATCTTGGCATGATTATTTATTTAATAATGTACACTGTGATTGTTCAGAAGCAGAATATTTCGGAATACTGGCGCAGAAATAGAGGGGTGGGGGGGGGGGGAGCTATGTGACCCTTTCATATAATTAAACAAGAAAGAAAACGAATACAATAGAAAGAGAGATGGAAAGAAGTGGGGAAAAGGATTAGAACCGTGTAAGACTGAATAACGATCCTCCCTCTCACTACTTAGTGGCTTTGTTCCCTCTCGTGACAGTCATCACTCCCCCTTTCTTAACTGAAGTGGGCGTTCCCCCTCAAAACTAAATCATTGTATGAAGATTTAATTGCGTTGTGACTTTAATAAAAACATCTCCTACTTTCTGTCTGGTTCGAAAAAGCTCCCTGAACTCGCCGATTTGCTGATAATATACTCTCTCAAAGTATTATATATTCATCAAACAACGCTTTCTATGTGTTTTAAGTCAGGCGCGGATCCAGGATTTCTTAAGGGGGGGGGGGGCCCAAATTTGAAATTATGCGAGCCAAATATTGGTACGTAATGGCGACCAGCAGTGACGTAATTGGGGAGGGGGGGGGTGCAGGGAGGGGCTAGTTTCCCCCTCCCTCCTCCGCGAAGCGCGGAAAGCTTTGACGTTTTATTAAATTATTAGAGAAAGAAGACGTTTCGTTGTATTGGGACCATCCCACCAGCCCCCCCCCCCCCCACCCTGACTACGCGCCTGCGGTCAGATGAACATGTGTTGATACCTTGTCCGCCCCCGGAAGCTTAGGAGTTTAATGCAATGATTTACGGTCAGATTAGCATTCAGGGGTCCGCCTTAGGACCCTAGGCGGGGTCCAGGGGGCAGAGCCCCGGAAGTTCAGGGGTTTTAAGTATTTAATTACGGTCAGATGGGCATTATTTTGATAACTAATTGTGACACCGGCAGGTCACTAATTGGCGTGGGGTTCAGGGGGCGGAGCCCCGGAAGCTCAAGGGTTTTAGGCACTCAATTACGGTCAGATGAGCATCAAGGGGCCCGCCTTAGGGCTCTTGGTTGGGTCCAGGGGGCAGAGCCCCCGGAAGCTCAGGGGTTTTAGGCGTTTAATTACGGTCAGATGAGATTTTTTGATACCTTATTATTTTGTGACACTGGCAGGACACTATTTGGCGTGGGGTCCAGGGGCAGAGCCCCCTGAAATGAGGGGTTTTAGGCATTAAATTACCGTCAGATGAGCATCTAAGGGCCCGCCTTAGGGCCCTGGGTGGAATCCAGGGGGCAGAGCCCTCGGGGTTTTAGGCATTTAATCATGGTCAGATAAGCATATTTTGAAACCTCATTATAATGTGACACTGGCAGTTAAATATTTTTTCTTTCTTGCTCTCTTTCTTTCTATTTCTCTTTAATATACTTTTTTCAAAACAAGTGGGGAGGGGGGGGGGGGGGGAGGGGGAGGGCTCGATGATCCCGATTCCCGTCGTTCCGCGGGCCCTGACATGTAGGCATCTCAAAAAGCATTTTCTTGACTGGCTGTAAATTTAGGAATTTGTCATTTTCCAACAAACGCATATAAAAGTATAATTTACTTAAAAGTGAGGAAAAATCTCGGAAAATTATGTCATTTCAGCTTTTTTTTTTTAAACGACCGTTATGGAATTAGAAGTAAGCCACGTTTGAATTTCCCAAGGCCCCCCCCCCCCCTCTCTATAAGTACGCCAGTGCCGCCCCCGATCTACACTTTGTTGGCGGGAAAATTGCAACTGATATCCCTTACCTTTCTTCATTCTCTTTTTTTCCTTCTTCCCTTTCTCTCCTATTTCCCTTCCCTTCTCTTTTTTTTAAAGCTCGGACGGGGTGGGGGGGGGGGGGTGGGGGAGGTAAGGGCCTTTTGCCCCCCCCCCCGATCCACAACTTGTTGGCGGGAAAATTGCAACTGATATCCCTTTCTTTTCTTTTCTTCTTCCTCTTTTTTCCTTCCCTATATCTCCTCTTTTTTCTTTTTTCTTTCCCTTCCTTCCTTCTCTCTTTTTTTTCGATGGGGGGGGGGGGGGGGGGAGGCAACAGCCTGGGAGGCAAGTCCTTTTGCCCCCCGATCTCCTTCTTCTCTCTTTTCTTTTCTTCTTCCTCTTCTTTTTTCCCTTTCTCTCCTCTTTCCCTTTCCCTTCTTTTCCTTCTCTCTCTCCTTTTTTTTTTTGCGGGGGGGGGGGGCAAGGCCCGCTCGGCCCCCCTGGATCCGCGCCTGTTTTAAGTAATACAATGTACCATTAAAGAGAAGGTTGAGTTCTGGGGAAAGATGAGCAATAATTGTGAGCGTTATCATTGTTATTATGTAAGTGTGGAAGAACATCAGAGAAAATATTCCCTGAAAAGCATGGCTCTTCAAATGCCTTCATATTTTAAATATGACAAGTACAACAGCTAATGAATGAGGCCAGATTTTTATGCCCACATGTTTGTGTATTTCCATATACATCTTTCTGTGTAAAGTGCTTGTGACTTTACCAAGACTGGGCCAAATTTCTCTTCATTTTGAAGTCTTTAGTAACTGCACACGAATACTTATATGCTATATACATAATCGGTTCCACACCGTTTCTTTCACAATGCAATCGCATAACCAGAACTCAACTTTATCTTTAAATAAAGATTACCTCCTTTTTTTTTTTTTTTTTACTTCCGTCTACACAGGATGAGCTTGAACTATTGAATACAGCCTCTGCGGAAATCAACCGGCTAGAAAAACAATTAGATGTAAGTATATTATTGTATGCATTACGTTTACTGGTTTACGTCCTCACTCTTTAAACGTTATGCGGATATTTTTGTTTTATGATCTTTAAAAAAAAAAATCGTCTTGGTGCGCTATTTATCTTTTTGAGGAGCTGTATATGTTACATCTCCGGAGTGTTGGCTCAGTCAGTAGAGCGTCCGCCTCGCAGTCGGGAGGTCGTTGGTTCGAACCCCGGCCGCGTCATACCAAAAGACGTTAACAGATGGGAGTTGTTGCTACCTTATTTGGCGTTCAACATTAAGGGATAGAGCAACGTCGATCTGGCGCTGCTCAGTGGCTGCCGGGCTCACGATCAATTGGGCAAAAAGAATCTCCGTTTCGGTTTAATAAAATTTGGAGTGGACTATTAGGCTATTTTTATTATTATTATTATTATTATCTAAGTCTTAGAAAAGTAGTAAGCGATTCTGTCGGGTTTGTATGAGCCGAATTTATTTTTCCATGTATTTGATTAAAAAAGAAAACTCTGAATTAATATCATAATAATATGAGTTCAAATTTGTATCCATTTCATTTATGATCATCATCGGGAACTGAATGTGAATGCACTTCTTTGATATAGTTAGGAGGTTTGACATTGAGGAGACGTGATGGCTCAGTGGTAGATCAGTGGTCTAAGAAAACCGGGAGGTCTCGGGTTCGAAACCAAGCCCGCTCGTGGCCTTTGGTAAGGCATTAATCCTCAATATCAAATCCCTCGCAGAGGACTTAAAGCCGTTGGTCCCATGGTTGTTTACATCAAATCATATGAAGGATTTCTTAGTAATCAGGTGAAACAATCATCATCAAACATTAACATTAACATTAACATTCAATGAATTTCTCTGTGGTAGGAATCTCGGCAAGCATTTCGTCAGACATTAACGGAATCAACCCAAAGCCTAAACGAGAAGATCAAGAAATGTCGCAAGTCAGCTCAGAAGGCTCAGGGTTACTATGCAGCCAAGGAAGAAGCTAGAAAAGTGAGTAGAAAGTTCAAGTGAAACAAAATCATTATGCCCTGTAATTAGTCCAGAATCTGTCATTTTGAATTTAGATCTCCACCACACCAACGCAATATGCGACCTCCCCTTTCTTACTTTCTGCCAGCCGAAGATTGCGTGATCGCCCGGCGAAAAAAAAAACGTAAGCTGAACTGGTGAGCATATTATAATGAGTCGTTGATATCAAACGCCATCTTCGGTGGGGAATAATAATATGAAGAACCAGCCAGATTCTGGACTATATGATTATGTGCACGCTGATCCTTTGAAGGGGCGAGCAAGATAGAGAGAGAGAGAGAGAGAGAGAGAGAGAGAGAGAGAGAGAGAGAGACAAAAAAGAGAGAGAACGAAAGAAAGGAAAAGAGAGAGAGAGAGGGGGGGGGGGTATAAATAGTCATTTGAATAAAAGACATTACATTTTGCTTGGGTCATTCGTCTTTACATTATTTTGTCAGTATACTCTTCCGATTTGTCTCCACTTATTTTTGTGTTTCCACTCTATTATATATCTTGCATACTCACAACTCTTCCCCTCCCATCCCATTTACTAAGCTTTGATTTTACTCATTCCTGTTTATCGCCCCTCATCCATCTTTCCCTCAACTCACGCAGGCTCAGGAGCTTGCCCAAGAGGCGGCCCTTCGCTATCAGCGAAGCTCAGGGATGTATTCAGCAGCCAGAGAAACCATTGGAATCGCTGAAGAGGCGGCTCTTAACTCCAAGAAACAACCGATGCAGGATTCAAGAAGAAGATTCGATTCGGCTCTTCAAGAGATGCTTAATCTATCCACAGAAAAGGTATGTTAAAGCCTCACTGCACTACTTGTAGCTACTTGCGCCCTCTATACAACAAACAATGCCTAATCGGTGACCATTGGTCCCCCATGATCCTCTTTTCTTCTGTTAATTAAAAGGTAATTTGATGAGATAACCACCTGTCCAGTGACCTTGCAGGGTGGTCTAATCCCTCATGTAAACTAGTACAGATGGGCTTTAAAATAGTAAACAATGCTTGCAGACTGTCTCGAAGGTTACGTCCACTGCACACGAGGCGTTATGGTCGTTATGACAGCGTCATTGGTGTACGCAGTCTCCCGACGCGCCTAGTGAAAGTGATAATATGTCCATTGAAATGTTGCAAAATAAACAGAGGAACAATGCGTTGAAGTATGCGCTAAAAGCCTTCATATTGATTGGCGCATATAATACATAAATGGCCCAATCGAAACAACGCCTTGTGCACAATTGGCATAATGGATCAATGAATATCTTGCTTGACGCTTGCGGTAAGAAACGAGCCATCTTTCTCTACAGTTGTATTTGGGTTTAATGTCCAGTCTTACAATGATGTGTTCTTTGGGGTTGATCAATAGACCTAACTAATATTGATACTCAAATCTGTCTATACTGATTTAATAATATTATGTTTTCCATCTGCTTCCCATTTTTTCTGCGAGCTATGTCGATGAGATGACTCGTATTCTAGGTCGGTACAGACTTGTACCACATTCGGCAAAGTGTCGTATTTCCTAATGAATCAAAGGGGGGGGTTATATTTTATGTATATAATGAAAATATAGAAGACCCAAGGTAGCCTGTTTTACTATTACCATAGTACTCCCAGGTGCCCATTTAATTCACCTGGATCGAGAGGGACACTTTTTGGTAAAACACCTTGTCCAAGGATGTAAAATAGGAGCGAGGAACGTACCCAGATCCTTTTGTTTGAGTGTCAAGAGCCTTTACCAAGTATACTATTCAGACTTGATGTAATGATATTGTCATGGTATATACAAATATGTCAATGATAACATTCTTTGTTATTCCCTATTTTTAAGCTCAATGCTGCCGAGCGAGAGAAGCGAGAGAGCCAACATGAACACGAGAAGCGATCCAAACATTACATCACGACTCAACAGGAAGTCGACAAGCTTGCAAAGAAGTTCAAGAGATCCATCGGCAAATCAGCGTGAGTAATGACTGTCCAGTGGGGCGTTTCACAAAACTTGTCATCAGTGACAAATGACAGTTTTTATTAAAAGCTACTGAAATCCTTGGTTCTGATTGGTTATCAGCAGATTTGTCACTGGTTTTTGTCATTTGTCAAAACATATACACGGGGACGGCGGGGGGGGGGGGGGGGGGGGCGGTGGGGCGGGGTTGGGTAGGGATCCTTGTAGGCGTGAAGGGGAGGGTAGAGGGGTATATTACCTGCTTGATCCGTAGCATATATATAATGCACAAATGCAAAAAATGCACACACACAATCAAAACATTTAATGATTCCTTTTCTACAGCTGTTTCAAACTGGTGACAGGGGAAGGGGCTCGAGGATTCACCGTATCCTTGATACCCCGTTCCTGCCTATGGTCTGTTTTCCATTAAGATGCGTTAGGTTTGGGCGTATGTAAAGATTTCCCTGCTCAAAGACCACTGTTCTGACTATTTCATTTCTCAACAACAGCGATTACTACGATCTCAAGAAGTCCTTTTTCTACGAGCTGAATGACCTGAAGATACGAACAGAAGCCTTACAAAGCGCCCTCACCGAAAGCAAGGCCAAGTATCGAGGAGCTCTGAAGCACTTAGAACAGATCTCAGACGATATTCATCAATCTCGTCAAGTAGCCGTCATCTTGGCTGGAAGTCGACAAAGTGGAGTCGGTGCTGAGACAGAGAGGGATTCGGAACACGAGAAACTGGACATCACATTCCATATCGGTCAGTTGGGTCTGTTAGTCTGTTACCTTTACCGTAACCACGGACCTGTAAAAGGTCCATGCCGTTATTCAGGTTTATAAGATGATGACGTGGATCCTAATCAAATGATTGGTTGAGAGCGTACACGTGACTACGCATTTATTTTGCCTAACGCGTAATTTGGATAATGACCAGTCATTATCAAAATCATGTTATAAAACATCATTTTATAAGACAAATAAAACATAATCTTATAAAAAAAATAATACACATCATTTTGTTCGGGCATTATTTAAAATTACCCACACGAGGTACCTTTGGAACAGTCTAACACGCCCGAGACGATATAGATGTGTATTATTTGTATATTACCCTCGACTGTATACTACATGTACTTCGCGTTGGTCCATGGAAATCTACCTAATAAGCCATTTTGGAGATACTAGATAAAGATAAATGTCATTTGTACAAAACTGTAAAAATCCATAGAGACGACTGATGGATACGATTTCATGAAAAGTTTTGTAATCATTATTCATTTATGCGCAAGTATTCTTTTTAAGAGGGAACACAAAAGGTTTTCATGAAGCACCTTCATTACTTTGGCAGTAATTATTCTAATTTGCACTATTAAAGTGGGACCTCTCCATGTGTGGAATATCTGTGAATGTGTTAATCATTTATTTGGTTAATTTGTACAAATGCTATCTCTAAAGTGGCTTATTCACGAACACAAATAAGTTGATGGACAGCTGCCCATACCGCAACGGGATGGCTCCTGTTTTAAGCCTCTTGAAATGAAGAAAAGCTATAAAGGGGGGGGGGGGGGTAATAATAATAATAATAATAATCATAATAATAGTGGGTTCTTGTATAGCGCTCATGTCTGTCAGACTTGACACTCTGGCGCTCCCGATTATATATGTTCCAATTGATCTTCATACTCTGGGCCCTCGGGCGATAACTTGCTTGTGGACCATGCGACTTCATCCTAACAGTGACGCCAACAATTCCAACATTAATAGTAAAATTTGTGCTAATTCTCAGGCAACCAGGGACCCACGGTGCTCGAATTCAAGTAAAATGTAATGGTGAATAGATTCAGAAAAAGTCTAGATCTCAGCTAAAACACGCCTCTGGTCTATATTACTATAACTATAAAGACCAAAGTGTTAAGTACGAAATTCAGAATGGCTGAGGAGGAACTAAATTTTCAAAATGGTAGATGAACTATTTTTACATGAAAAGATATTGTGAATGAAGAAAGCAATAAGGGAAGTCTATAAAATGAGGAAGATATTCGAGACAAAAAAGGTGGAAGGAGGGAGTGTCATCATGATGCCAAAGTCAGTGACCCCTGGTATGAAGGAAAATGCTGACTTTAATCAAAATTAATGATGATAATGAACATACTGGATTATAGTTTTTGACCCATCTTGTTAAACGTGTAAATCTGCCATTCTGTCACTGTTGTCTGTCACTGTCTTCCCCTCTAAATGGTTAGTCATGTTTTTAGAGGGATGCTCTAGTATTTACATTATATGATGGATACACCTGTAATCATTCCAAGTTGTGTTTTTTTTTCAGGGGAAATATACCGAGTTCAGAAAAACCCATTCCGTTCTATTAAGCGGGACTGCACTACTTGTAGGTACTTGCGTCCTCTATATAGCAAACAATGCCTAAGCGGTACCCTTTGGTCCCCATGGTCCCTCATTTCTTATGTTAATTGAGAGCTAATTTGGTGAGATAACCACCTGTCAGTGACCACGCAGGGAGGTCTTATCCTTCCTGGCCAAACTAATGTAGATAGGCTTAGATATATTTTTAGTAAAATCTTCCAATTTATATTCTCTTATTATCCGCAGATGATAGCACTGATGGTGAGAGTGTTATCACTGATTCATCGGAACCCTCAAGCTGTGCCTCATCGACCTCCCGAATGCAATCGAGGTCAATCTCAGGTTCCAGCCTTCCATCTCCTGCAGAATGGGACAATGACAATACGAACAACCGTTTCAACTTCGCTGTCGGTTCAAATCCCGAATCAAACAACGGCCATAATGGAAATTCCAAAAGAGATTCAGTTCCCAAGATATACATGGAAACAGTGGACGATGTGGAAGACGACGACGATGATGACGATGATGGAGATATTTTTATCGGCGTTGATATTGACAGTGATAGTGACAATGATACCAAAGGTAGGCTCGATGTCACCCGTAAGCTAAGAACTATTAGCATCGGCGACCTCAAGTCCTTCAGCGTCTACGATGATGGTGAAACCATCGACATCAATTCTTCGACCACGGCTGATGAATCGAATAGATCTGACACTACATCAAATCAAACGACATCGGAACAGGTTGGAGATCAAACAGTCAATGAATCTTCCAATACTCCCGTCCATGACGCCCTCAACGACAGTGTCGATGAAACCAACGATGAAACCATCACTGAAATCGTTGACGGCGATGTGCCGTCTCAGCCGGAAAAGAAAGATGACGTCGCAGATACAGCCGTCGATGATAAAGCGAATGACGAAGTCGTCTGGATATGAACGAGGGGTTTAGCATAGCTGCCGTAAATGATTATTGACTTGAAAGCGTTTCAGTATTTGAATCAAGAGACGATCATAAGCGGGTCCTTTATGGAAGCTGTGGTATATAATCGATGAAGGCTCTGAAGTCTCTGTTCATTGTAGGAAAAGATTTTTGCCCAAGCAAACCAGTCCCTCTCCACCCAGATGTAAAACGTACCCTGCGGGATTAATATTAAATGTAGGGCCCTCAGAAAGAGCAGTATTAATACTGATATTGTTACCTTGGAAGACCGAATTGTTATTAATCATTATTATTCAACGAGTGAATTCTATGCAAGCACTGACGGATGGATGAGTGGCGAGTTCATTAGAATTATCAAATGTCGATTATGTCAATATAAAAAGGGGAAATTATCATTAAAGTTCTTATTTGCCCTATTTAATGATATGTTTTTTTTTTAATAACAGAAAACTAATTCGATGTTCAATAGAGTGGTCAGAAAAAGTTATTGAGGGGGATGGGTATCGATTCATTGGGCATTGAGTTGGATTTTTTTCTTCTTCGAGATGTCCATGTTTTCAAATCTGCTGAATAATGTCGAAGCCTTTGATAATACGTGCCAAAGATAAGTTTGAATGTGACTGTTAGACCAAAGTAAGGAGGTGTTATTTTACTACACTATCGTCAAATCATGTCGACCTGCAGGGATAAACATATTATGAATATTAATGGAATCACAGTAGTGATAGAAGAAGAAATTGTAAACACTGCTGACTTTCTGTGACGAAACTTTACTTGCATTTTTCGCACAACTTTAACACTCTGTGAAATCATGTTTACGTTCTAGTTTTTATATGAAATAATATAATTCTGTTCTTTTGTGTATATGAGATTCTGTTAATGCTTTATGCTATAGCTAAATGAAAGAAATTCAGGTTACGGATTTTTTTTTAGCCAGATAGGTCAGTCATTTTATGGACCCCAAATAGTTCCCCCCATCCATTGTACATGGGAGTGAGCTAATCGGAGCTCCATAATTTGAACTATGACATCGCTTGTGTCACAACTCTCCCTCTCAAATACGCTATGATCTATGCAAATGCTTATACTACGTCCTCTCTCGTTTTGTTTATATTTGTATATTTACTATTTTACTTCGGAATTCGGATATTTGCTTTTAATGAAATCATTTAACCGCAAATATACTAATTATTTTAACCAGCTCGAAGAAGAATACATCCTGATCAACTTTTTGTTGTTCATACATACACTTTTAACATGAATTACAATATGTAGACGATGCTTATAATGTTGTTGATGATGATAATCATAATGATTTTAATCATCATTATCATTAATATCATTATTATTATCATCACCACCATCATGATCTTTATGAAGTATGAAGGCATGTATATCATAATGGTGGAATCACGAAATAAAATGTAATTGTATCTCCAAATGATTGTGTATTGAGTCTGCTTTAGAGTTTACATCCAATACGATTAGATATATGTGTATGCGTGTGTGTGCGTGTGTATGTATGTGATTTTTTACAGACGTGTATCTATTAGATATGATTATTTACGTCTGTGGACCGACCTTTAAACGTCACCGTCCGAAAGACGTGACTCAGTTTCGAACCTGCGTCATCGGCTGTGGTTCCTTTTTTTAGGTTTTAAACAATCAGCTCCCATCGACTCTCATCAGCTCTCATCGGCTAAACACCTGCAACCAGCCAATAAGGATTAATTTACCGAATAATCCACATGCAGTATCCATGCAATCCCAGCTATACTACGGGAGTACCCCAGTGGGAAGCTATCGACAACATAATACAAGCTTTATGGATACTACTGATGTGTGCTTAAAGGTAATACAAAGTTTTGGAATGGGGTCATGAATCTGGTTCAAATGAACATATTGGAAGCATATGCGATCCTACAATATTCAGAGATCGTTGTCTCGGTTGAAATCGAGTCTAAAGTGATGAAATTGTAAATAATAAAGTCTTTATGTTGTATAGCGCCCTCTCAAGGTCAAGATATTGATTTAGCTATAAAAAAAAATATACAATTAATATTTTTAAGACTTAGAAAGTGCACATTGAATAGTAAGCTTAGAGAATTTCAATTTAAAATGCTTTATAATATTATATATACTAAATTACATTTATATAAATTTAAAATGGTTAATAGTAATTTATGTTCTTTTTTGGTAAATATGAGGAAACTTACGAGCATTTATTTTGTCTTTGTGAGAAAGTAAAACCAATTTGGGAAGAGTGTGGGAATTTATTTAATTTAGTAGAAATTACAAATATTAATTGGAAAGGTATCCATGTAGGGATGGTTGAGTTTAACATAGGGAAGGAACAGTTACTAAATCATATCATAATTTTGATAAAATATATGATATTTATAGATAGTAAAAATAGACAAAAACCACCAACTTATTTAGAGATTAAGAAAAGATTATTAGAAAATAGAAAGGAGGAGAAGAAATTAGCTGGGGACCGAGGTACACTCACATATCATTTTAGAAAGTGGGACAATTTTAGAATAACTTCGTGCAGAATAAATAAAATAAGGAAGGCGAATAGAAGCAATGAAATGGACATGGCTGATATAATGGTCGAGATTCCCACAAAATGTAGGCATGTTTTATTAAAGTGGGTGTTTGTGTGGGTGTGTGTGCACGTGTGTGTATGTGGGTATGTAAGTATTTTTTTCCCCTTCCCTTAATGTCTTTTTATGTTCATGCCTTCTTCATGCATGCATATTTCATGCTTTATTTGATGTAAATAGTAAAAGTTCATTTGTATTATTTAGATGTGAATGTAAAATCATATTCTATATAATAATATTAACATGCAGATTATTATATGTATTGATTTTGTTATTGTTTGTGAAAAGCAATGGAGAAAATAAAATATCATTGAAAAAAAAAAAAAGTTATTTGACTAAAATCGACCGATTTGCTATTACCATTTGGAATATATATATCACAACTGCATATTCTGAGATTTTCATGGTCGCAGCTACCATCGTATGGCCGTAGGCGCTATTTGAAATTTATCAAAATTTACCGGGAGCACCGGTAAATTTTTATATTCAATTTTTCTCGAAAGCAGAAGTGTTTTAGGGGCCCATTTGTTCAGTGCTTATAATACATCCACAGGGGCATCCAAATATATCAACATTGTAAAGAATCACTATCCAGCCACTTTTGCTGGCTGAAAATTTGAAATCATGTAAATCCTATGGTAAACAAGAGATAATACCAACTAGACATTCCTCTTAAACGATTAGAACTAGTAATTGCCTCTATGTGGAATTATATCAAACCATATAATGCATTTTAAAAACGCGTTGCGAAAATACGTCTAGAAGGTAGTTATATTGTTAGACCCTTGTATCGCAAAGTATACGTTTTGTGCTGGGTAAAGACTCGATAACTTTAATTTCGGTCATTATAAGAAGCGAGTTATCGATGTGTATTAACGATAATGTACCCTTAACATCTAATTTTATCCATGTTATTAACAAATTAATATAAGTAAATCAGTCACTCAGCAGCGTCTGACAGTGAAGTCTAGATAGTAAACGGTTTCCCTTGCGTAACTAGTGACAGTAATTTCACTGATAGGACATGACCTACTTGACCGTTCTCATGATTCCTACAAAGTTCTACAGATTGAATTTGATGTTGGCTGCAAAAGGGATACACTACCTTTAAAATAGGACCTGACGTTTACCCGTTACGCGGGAGGTGTTATTGACTGACGCACGGGTGCGTCACCGACTGACATGGTGTATGACGTTCGGGTGTTAGTCTACAAGCTCAGACCCTAATTTGACACTTTATCAAAAAATCATTGTGCCTTGAGAGAAGCCTAGCCCAGCTACCTACTGGTTGTGTCAATATAGGTCAGGAGCAGCTACAGTATGGCCTATGGTAGTCTTATAGTGCAGACTCACTTTTACGACTGTGCTTGCAGACTATTCGGGTGTGACGTCATACAAGTGACTACAAATTGAGCAGTGTAAATATTAGCCTTCATAGGCCCCTTACCCTTATTAGCGCAGGTAACATTTAAAAGGGAAGTCTATCCTGATATTAGTTGGTTTTTAATAGAAACGGAATATAAATATAAAACGAAGAGGTCAGTGAAAGTTTTAGCGAACATATTTTTACACAGGAAAATACAACTATTTTGCAAGATAATGGATAAATTAGGTAGTGCATAACGTGTACAATTATTTCCTAGATGATATAATGATACCTTTTGCTTCTCATTTTCTTACAGTTGTATAGTATATCAATTAAGTCAGGACTTGACTATTAAATAAACCCAGATACATGAAACAAATGCATACATGTATTCTAAATAAGCTTTCGGGTATGGGAAGACAATCTTATTGCTCATCAATACCTAAATTGCACAAATTATGTTTAGTCATATTAAAGAAAAAATATTCATGCCAGGAAACTGTCACATAGACTCCATCATGCTCTTTGGAGTAAATACTTGCCAAAAAATGAATAATTTCTGGTGAAAACTTGTCAAATCAGTTGTCAAATCACGTCATGTATATTTCGAAAACAAGAAAGCCCGGCTGAGGAAATGAATATACAAGCATCAATTATCAGAGTGAGGAATTGTCTTTGTGTTGCGCCGTTCTTTGTTGTGTTGTCCTGTGTTGTACCGTGTTCTGTCACTATCCATGTACTAAATATATTTCAATATTCTGGGCTAGGAAAGCTTTTCTAACAATGTTGAGAGGCAGTCCATCTACACCATAAAATTAATTTGATGTTTCTACTTTCAAGTTTATTTGTTTCACATTTCACAAAAAAATAATTCACATAATTGACAAAATTAGAACATTATATGAAATGAAATATACTAAAAGTGTCACATTATATAATTAATATTATTTTGAGCAAACTATTGCTCAAAAACTAAATGAGTACTTTGTCAAAAAAACATTCCTTCTGCAAATAATTGTGTTAACGAGGCTTTAGTAACACCGGCACACCATTCTTTTCAGTTTAGACAAGTGGATTCAAACGCTGTTTTAAAGGTATTAAATAGCCTATCGTTGAAAAAGGCAATAGGGTGTAAGCTGATTAGAATGGCCACCCCGTACATTGTGCAGCCTCTGACGTCTATAATTAACTCGTCTTTGCACACAGGAATTGTACCTAATACGTGGAAAAAAGCCCGAATTGTTGCGATTCACAAAGGAGAGTCTAAGGAATTGTGTAACTATAGACCTATTTCGATTTTACCCATACTATCAAAAGTTTTAGAGAGAATGGTCTTCAATCAAATCTATGACTACTTAAACGCCAATACATTGTTGAGCATTTACCAGTCAGGATTTCGACCCAATCACTCTACAGCTACTGCTCTACTAAATGTAACAGATGACTGGTTAAAGATGAAGTTGAGTTCTGGTCATGCGATAGCATTGTGAAAGAAACGGTGTGTAACCGACCAGAAAAGGTTGATCATCTAGCATGTAAGAATTTGTGTGTATTGCAAGGTTCTGGAATCATCAAAATGATAAGAAATGTGACCAAGTCTTGGTAAAGTTACAAACACTTGCACAGAAAGATGTATATGGGACTACACGAACACATGGCGTAAAAAGCCGGCCCCCGATTTTTACGATGTTACATGCATATTTAGAAGATGAAGGCATTTGAAGAGCCATGCTTTTCAGGGAACATGTCTTAACTGATGTTCTTCCACACTTGCATAATAAGAATGAGTAATGCTCACTAATTATTTTTCACCTCTTCCCAGAACTCAACCTTCTCTTTAACAAGCATAAATGAAGGTCAAATTGTATGTGCGGTAATGCTAGATCTAAAAAAGGCTTTTGATACCGTTGACTATTATTTATTTATTTATTTATTTATTTATTTCACATCTTTAAAAAGGGTAGCCCGATCAGCATGAGCTGGTTTTCATCAGGGCCCTTTACAACATACATGGTTCAATAATAATGTCAATCAAAACAACAATAAATGCACATTATAATATGAGAGATAATTCGGACATGCAATAAAAAGGCGATACAGTACATTTCATAGTATACGAAGTTCAAATTAAGATAAGGTATGCTATAGATATTTATAAAATTGTTGCGAATATTTCAATGTTAAAAAAAGTTTACCGTCACCATTGAGTAATTATAAAATGTATACAATTAAATACTTTCCCAGTTTATAATTAAAACTATTGTAAACAAACAACAACAAAAACCCACAATTAAAATATATATATATATACATGTAGTTGACATTTGTACGCAATAACACATAGTATTAGGTTAAAGTTAAAACAAAGTATGGTATAAATATCAAAACAAATTATTGCAATATATTTCAATGTTAAAAAAGTTTGCCGTCACCATTACGTTATACCATATATACTATTAATACT